CCGCGGCTTACACAACAACCGTCTCAAAGGCTGGCAATTCTCAGAGGGAGGATTCTCTGGGACGGTCTCCTGTTGAGTTCCATTGTTGGGTCCTTGGGAGGCACAGGCCTTCTCTTGAGTACGCAGGGCTTGCTTGGTCTGTAAAGCTTCCAACAACATTTTCCCATTCACACAAACTGAGAATTTATGTATGTTTAAAGGGCTGAAACCTGGCCCTGTGCGAATAACCAGCATTTCTACAACTTGGATGGGACTTGCAAAACAAGACATGCAAGGCTTCTCCTTCTTCTTAGCTATACCTAATCATTCCAGTTTTTCTTCTCATTCCCCCCCCCTCAGTTTCTGTTATGACTATGTATTGGGGGCTTTCTTTCTGATCGCATCCATTTCACAAGTCTACTAATTTGAGTGGGAATGAGGAAAATCACCAAAATTAGGAAGAAAAGAGGAAACCAAGCTCCTTCCTTTCTCATAAAGTCCCCCCTTTCTTTACATGTCTACAGTTGGTTAACAAGCTGGGTTTGGGGCCGGAGTGATAGTGAAAGTGAAGCGGCTCGCTTTGCTTCACAGGTCTAGTATTCAGCCATAACCATATATTTCATGACAGTTGCATCTTTGTTTTATTTAGCTCATTGTGGAAACTGTCAAGGCAGTGTACAGAAAACACATACTAAATTACACAATAACCTTTAAAATATCTAACAAGCAAGGAGAAGAAAATAAGAAGCAATAGTAAATGCTTAAGATGCAAAAATTAAACAGTTTTAGCTCCAGAGTAAATAAATACACTAGCAGTAATGTATAAATAAAATGAATATGTCCTATCAATTCACAGATACATCCACAATATAATCACACTGTAGACTTACCCTGATCTGTCAGCAATTCCTTCTTCCTGCTCCCCATAATCTGGGAGGTCTAGTTTTACGGGGGGCAGAGCTAGGGACGTATCACAGAGAATTTTAGCATCCAACCAAATTACAAGTGTTAGGGATTCTAGGGGGATATAAACATTAAAGGTGCTATTAAAAACAGTATAAGATTGTTGTGTAAACAGTGCCTTCTTTCTAATGATTGTGGCTCGACTACCATTGTCCCTGGTTTGTTATTCATCTATGGATTAGCGTAAATCATGTTTTGAAAATGCATTAGCTCACGTGATGCTGGCACTTGTGAGGCAGTGGCAAAAAGTACAGAACATTATTTCCTGAGCCTCTGAAATCGGACCAGGTCCCCAAATCCTTCCTGTGGTTGTCAAGATCAAACAACTGACCAAAATATGTCATTATGCACATTACACATACACTTTGGTAACACTAGCCTTGAACAACTCACCAAAAAGTCCCAGTGCTATCACAGCTGCTATTAGGATTGCAGCACATCCGATCTCAACAGCAAGCCGATGCCAGTGGGGACGTCTTGGCAGAAGACCTACAAGAGCCAACCATTGGGGAGAAGTTCAGCCTCTAGTACAAATAGACTGCGGTATGGCAGTAGGGTTGTTAACTCTGGGTTGGGCAACTCCTGGAGATTTGAGGGTGGAGCCTGGGGAGGGAGGGGTCTGGGGAGGCAACGACCTCATTGGTATGTAGTGCCATAGAGTCCACCCTCCAAAGCAGCCATTTTGTCTAGGGGAACTGATCTCTGTAGACTGGAGATCAATAGTCATTGTGGGAGATTTCCAGGCCCCATCTGGAAGTTGGCAACCCTACATAGCAGGCTTTGGAAATCTATGGTTCCAGAGTCAGATGTGGTTCAGTGCAGAACCTAATGTGGCTCTTTTTTTAAAAAAATGAAATTTTAAAGTAATGGGATATTGGAGGGGCAAGTGGATTGCTAGAGTAACCAGTACATGAAGGGGATAGCAGGCAGAGATTTTTTATGGGATTAAAGGTTCTTAAAGATGTCTGATGGAATGTGGAATGGTATGGTATAGCCGCGTCTCATAGATGGCACCTTGAGATCTGCTATTACAATTGCTCTCCAGACAACCATGAACAGCTCCCCTGGAGAAAATGGCTGCTTTCGAGGGTGGACTCTATGGCCTTTCTGCACCCGTATTTTGCCTCAGTTTCTGAGCATATCCTTTTCTTCCATTCTGCATTCCCTCCCACTTTCAATTCCAGTTTGTTTCAGGGCTTTCTCTTGTTTCTGCATTTGTTTTACGGGAATCTGCATTCCAACCGCTTCCAACACACTGTTGCCCTGCAGCTACCAAAACTCCTTTTGCTGCGATTCTTTGTTCTCATCCGCTTTCAAATTGCTTATCCTTTCTAAAGAATTGTTTCTGCGGGTATTTAAGTGCCGCCCACTACCCTCCCCCTTGCCGCCTCTCTCTTTTCAGCTTGACATTCCCTCCCTGTTCTGTTTTCTTTCCCCCCTTCTCAAAAAATAAAAGAAGACATGTCCTCCCGCTCAGGAAAACTCAGAAGACATGACTCCCGCTCAGTAAATGTAAAGGACATGGGGATTCCCCGCAAATATGTCAGTCTTGCATGTGTGGGCCTGGATTTCCCCCTCTCTTCCCTTTCGTTTTGCAGAATCACGGAAGGAGGGAGGGAGGGAGGGAGGGAGGGGTTGGCAGCCAGTTAGCTCGAAAATGTGGGTTTTGCCTGTAGATGCAGAACGCACGCAGAATACACAAATAAATAAACCAAAGGGGGGGGGAGAAACAGTGCAAAGGGAATGGGTGCAACTGCGAGGTCCTTAAGGATTGACACCTCGGATTCTCTGGAGCAAGCTGTCAGTGCAGAAAGGGCCTATGGCATTATACCCTGCTGAGGCCTAGGGATGCCAGCCTCCAGGTGGGATCTGGGGATCCCTCAGGATTAAAGCTAATGTCCAGACTACAGAGATCAGTTCCCCTGGAGAAAATCAATGCTTTGGAGGGTTGACTCAACAGTGTTGTACCTCCCTGAAGCCGCTGTCCTTCCCAGGCTCCATTCCCAAATCTCCAGATGTTTCCCAGTCTAACCCTAACCTTCCCATTCCCCACTGGTGGCCAGCAGGGACCCGGCAACCCTATGTGAGGCCCCTCCCCATCACCCACCCCCCAAATTTCCAGTTATTTCCCAACCCAGAGCTGGCAACCCTACAATCCCTTGGAAGCTAAGCAGTGTTGGTACTTGGATGGAAGACCACCAAGGAGGACTTCGTAGAGGAAGGAAATGGCAACCCACCTCTGCTTAATCGCTTGCCTTAAAAGCCCCTTACTCTGGTCCCCATAAATCAGCTATGACTTGACAGCACTTTACACACAAAGATGCCTGATAGACAGCAAAATGATAGAAGGGAAACAGTAACGAGGCCTGCACTCCAAGGGTGAATCATGCACCGATTCATGCCACTGCACAGACACAATTGCACAGGGTGCTCCAGGGTGCACCACTTCCTAATATAGGATTGGCAACAAGCTGTGGAAACTTTATGGGTTATTAGTCAACTTGTCAAATTATCAATAATGTTAAACCGTATAGTTTCAGTTATGTGGGCTTTCTTACACTGGCTCTTTGTTTGTTTCCCTCTGAATTTTGCCATAGTTTGGCTCTAGTGAGAAAAGGTTGCTAGCGGCTGGTGTGGAAATAAAAATGGTTCAGATATATATATATCCTTTTTAGTACATGTGAATTTCCAGTTGCATTCTCACTGCTCCCCCCCCCTGTTTTTTTAAAATTGTTATAGAATCATTGTTCTCTGAGTAACCCTACTGGGTATTAATCAAGAAGTCAGCCCTGCAAGGTAGGACACTTGCAAGCTGAGTTCCAAAAACAAGTTGGTAGCTCTAGCCAAAATAGGCCAACGTACTGGGTTTAGTTTGAAGCCCCAAAGCCCAAGTGACATCACAGAAGCATAATGAAGAAGATTTGCTAAAGAAAGGTGCAGAAGTATACAAGCATAAGAGCAGAGCAAGGAAGAAAATAATAAAATCTAAATACCTAACCTAAAATACTTATACAGGTTTTTTGATCCTCTGACCCTGATGTTACCTGATCAGTCTGAAACACTGAATCCAGTTAGAGTCTCAAAGTCCAGAATTGAGAGGCAAGTGTTCTGGCCATGCAAGGCCCAATCCAGTCAGATGGCTAGGAGCACCAAACCAGAATGTAAAACTGTGCTCTATTGCCAGGCTGCCTGCAGCTTGCCTGGACAGTCAGTGGGTGACCTCAAGTTAGCCGTTTTATTACAAAGGAACTTCAGGAACAGAATGGAAAGGAAAACTGCTGAATTACAAGTTATTACAACACTTGGAACAAAGACCTCCCCAGGACTCAACAGGGATATTGGTTTCTTATCTCATTACATATGCTAACTCATTCAGTCCTCACATATGTATTCTCATACAGAGGGACTAAACATCCTCTGCATTTTAGTGTATTTCTTTTTCAGAACAGTATATTAGAATACTGAATGTAAGGAATATTGGATTGTTTGGCTCACATACACTGCTTCCCCCTTGAAAGAGAAAGTAAAAATGCTGTTACGTGACCTCCACGCTCTGAGAGTGAATGGAGAGTCTCAAATTTATTTTGACATATGCATTGTTTTATAATGGTTGACCTTATAACCTTAGCTTGTTTTGTCTTGCATATCTGAAAACGTCATAATCATGTTACATCTTAATTTGCTGTTCAGCCATCTATAAGTTTGAACCTTACCTTCCATTCCACTGTATTTGAAAAAGTGTGCTTTGCACACAAAAGCTCATACCTCGAATAAACCTTTTGTTGGTCTTTAAGGTGCCTCGGGGCTCTACATTTGTTCTGCTGCTTCAGACCAACAACAGCTGATTACCTGGACCTTGCCTGGTCCGGTTTGACCATTCAGGTGTGTTGCTAAGACATAGGACCATGTACTTCTGCAGCAGCACATACACCCAGGGTTCCTTGTGCTAATCAGATAGAACATGAGTACAAAATTCTCTTCTGATCCCTGGCTTTGAAGTTCCCAGTAGGGTTGGGAAATTCCTGGAGATTTGGGGGTGAAGCCTGGAAAGGATGGGGTTTGGGGAAGCGAGGGATCTCAGCGGGATATAATGCCATAGAGTCCACCTTCCAAAGTAGCCATTTTCTCCAGGGGAACTGATCTCTGTCGTCTGGGGATCTGTTGCAAGTCTGGGGGATCTCCAGGCCCACCTTCAGATGGTGTGTCTACTGCATCCGTTCCTGGGTCAGTCAGATCTAGCCACAGCTATTCACGCCTTAGTTACATCTAGACAGGACTACTGCAATGCACTCTACTTGGGGCTACCCTTGAAGAGTGTTCAGAAGCTGCATTTAGTGCAGAATTCTGTGGCTAGACTGCTGGTTGAGGCCAGCTATTGGGAGCATTTGACCCCAATACTACAGCAATTACACTGGCTACTGATCCACTTCCAAGCCCAATTCAAGGTATTAGTAGAGCAGGTAGAGAAAGAGGTACTTTTCTCCCTTTCTCACAATACAAGAACTCGTGGGCACTCAATGAAATTGCTGAGTGGTCGGGTTAGAATGGATAAAAGGAAGTACTTCTTCACCCAAAGAGTGATTCAACACATGGAATTCACTGCCACAGGAAGTGGTGGCGGCTACAAGCATGGACGGCTTCAAAAGGGAATTAGATAAGCATATGGAGCAGAGGTCCATCAGTGGCTATTAGCCACAAGGTATAGATAGGGGCTCTGGGGCAAGTGATGCTCTGTCATCTTGGTGCTGGGGGGGGGGTCAATAGTGGGAGGGCTTCTAATGTTCTGGCCCCACTGGTGGACCTCCTGATGGCACTGGTATTTCTGGCCACTGTGTGACACAGAGTGTTGGACTGGATGGGCCTTTGGCCTGATCCAACACTGGCGTCTCTTATGTTCTTATGACCTTTAAAGCCCTACATGGTGTGGGACTGGAGTATCTGAAGGGATGTTTTCTCCCGTATGTTCTTGCCTGGGAATTAAGATCACAGGGACGAGCCCTCCTGACTGTTCCATCGACCAAAAATGCTCATTTGGTGGGGATACAAGAGAGGGCCTTTTCGGTGGCAGCCCCATGATCATGGAACAACCTCCCCAGGGAGATGTGCCTGGCCCTGTCAGTCTTCAGGAACCAGTCGTGCACTTTTATTTAGAACTGCCTTTGATTAAAGTGGTCCTAAACTGTGTTTTAAAATGCTTTTTATGTATTTTTATGTACTGTGTTTTATGCATTTCATTGAAATTTTATATTGTAAGCTGCCTTGAACTCCGTGTGGAAGAAAGGCAGCTTAGAAACGTTTTAAATAGATAAGCAAATAAATAATAATCACATATTTGATCTAATGCCGTGTCTGACCAACTGGGTTCTGGTTCACAATCACTTATGCCTTAATACATGCATCAGTCTTTAAGGTGCGAAAAGACTCTTTTTGTGATTTTGGCTGCAGCTTTCTAACACGGGTACACCTCTGGAAAACATCTGCAGAGTGGATGAACAGGAATATGGACACATGGAAGGCAAAACACCGCATTCTGAAATCCACAGGGTTGGTCGTTGTGTTGGAACAACCCTATGGTCACTCCCAATGCTTGCACCCACCCAGAAACCCAATTCATACATAGGAGCCCTTTCCTTACCTTGCCACTGAAACATCGGGTTGTGTCGTTGTTGCTCTTTCCTTGGCCGAAAGTTTGCGTAACAGGCATCTTCCATCTATCAAGGTGTTCCTCGGTTGGTGGCAGAGCTCTTTTCTAAACCACCCAACTCAGCTCTGAGTGAGAAGCAGCGGCTCTACCCACTTCTCAGTGTCAAGGAAGAGAGTCACACAGGAAACGGGGGCTCTGAACATTTGACCACCTCTCTCAACACCTCAGCTCCTCTGTTATCTACAGAAGGTTGCCAGAAGCCTTTCTTTCTTTCTTTCTTTCTTTCTTTCTTTCTTTCTTTCTTTCTTTCTTTCTTTCTTTCTTTCTTTCTTTCTTTCTTCAGAAGCCTTTCTTTCTTTCTTTCTTTCTTTCTTTCTTTCTTTCTTTCTTTCTTTCTTTCTTTCTTTCTTTCTTTCTTTCTTTCTTTCTTTCTTTCTTTCTTTCTTTCTTCAGTTTATATTTCATTAAGGGCCTCATATCTACTTGGAGACACAAATACCACAGCTGGTAGTCACCTACTCAGTGCTGCGACTGTGGCAACTCAATTGCCCCTTTCTGAGGGCTGTCAACCTCCAGGTGGTGGCTGGAGATCTCCTGGGATTACAACTGATCTTTAGGTGACAGAGATCAGTACCCCTGGAGAAAATGGCCCCTTTGGAGGGTGGACTGTATGGCATGATACCCCTCCCCAACCCCCAACCCCCTTTGAGGTGCTTGCTTACAGGGGAGATGGTTTTACCTTTAAAACAGTCTCTGTGCACATAAACTTGGTAGATTTCTGCTGCCACCAGGAATTAAAAATTCCAAAAACCATCTCATCCTTTGCCGTCCCCGTCTTCTTTGACCTTCAATCTTTCCAAGCATCAGGGTCTTCTCCAGTGAGTGCTCCCTTCTCATTTGGTGGCCAAAGTATTTGAGCTTCAGTGCCCTGAGGAAGGACTATTCTGAACAGTCAGGGTTGATTTCTTTTAGGATTGACTGATTTGATCTTCTTGCAGTCCAAGGGACTCTCAAGAGTCTTCTCCAGCACCATAATTCAAAAGCATCTATTCTTCGGGGCTCGGCCTTCCTTATAGTCCAACTCTCGCAGCCATACATGACTACTGGGAATACCATTGCTTTGACCATGCGGACTTTTGTTGGCAGGGTGATGTCTCTACTTTTTATCATGCTGTTTAGGTTCGCCATCGATTTCCTCCCAAGGAGCAGGCGTCTTTTAATTTCATGGCTGCTGTCACAGTCTGCGGTGATCTGGGATCCCAGGAACGTGAAGTCTGTCACTGCTTCCACAACATCCCCTTCTATTTGCCAAGGAGTGATGGGGCTGGATGCCATGATCTTAGTTTTTTTGATGTTGAGCTTCAAGCCCACTTTTGCGCTCTCCTCTTTTACCCTGAGTACCTTTTCCTATGCTGAACCAATCAGTTGTTCCGTATCCGGTTCTAACTGTCGCTTCTTGGCCCTTATACAGGTTTCTCAAGAGACATGTGAGGTGGTCTGGTACTCCCATCTCTTTAAGGACCTGCCATAGTTTGTTGTGATCCACACAGTCAAAGGCTTTAGCATAGTCAATGAAGCAGAAGTAGATATTTTTCTGGTACTCTCTTGCTTTCTCCATAATCCAGCGAATGTTGGCAATATGATCTCTCGTTCCTCTACCTCTTCGAAACCCAGCTTGTACTTCTGGTAGTTCTCTATCCACGTACTGTTGAAGCCTAGCTTGTAGGATCTTGAGCATGACCTTGCTAGCGTGTGATATGAGTGCAATTGTGCGATAGTTTGAACATTCCTTGGCGTTGCCCTTCTTTGGGATTGGAATGTATACTGATCTTTTCCAATCCTGTGGCCACTGTTGCGTTTTCCAAATTTGCTGGCAAATGGAGTGCAGCACTTTAACAGCATCATCTTCTAAGACTTTGAATAGCTCAGCTGGAATACCATCACCTCCACTAGCTTTGTTGTTAGTAATGCTTTCTAAGGCCCATTTAACTTCACATTCCAGGATGTCTGGCTCGAGGTCAGTGATTATACCGTCGTGGTTGTCAAGGACATCGAGGTCTTTCTTGTATAGTTCTTCTGTGTATTCTTGCCATCTTTTCCTAATCTCTTCTGCTTCTGTTAGGTCCCTACCGTTTTTGTCCTTTATCATGGCCAGCTTTGCATGGAACGCTCCCTTGATTTCTCCAATTTTCTTGAAGAGATCTCTAGTCCTTCCCATTCTATTGTTTTCTTCTATTACTTTGCACTGTTCATTCAGGAAGGCCTCCTTATCTCTCCTTGCTGTTCTCTGGAAATCTGCGTTCAGTTGGGTAAATCTTTCCTTTTCGCCTTTGCCTTTCGCTTTCCTTCTTTCCTCTGCTATTTGTAAAGCCTCATCAGAAAGCCATTTTGCTTTCTTGCATTTCTTTTTCTTTGGTATGGTGGTGATTGCTGCCTCCTGTACAATGTCACGAACCTCCGTCCATAGTTCTTCAGGCACTCTATCTATCAAATCCAGACCCTTGAATCTATTCTTCACCTCTACTGTATATTCATCAGGGATGTGATCTAGGTCAAACCTGAATGGCCTCGTGGTTTTCCCGATTTTCTTCAGTTTAAGTCTGAATTTTGCAATGAGTAGCTCATGATCTGAACCACAGTCAGCTCCAGGTCTTGTTTTTACTGACTGGATAGAGCTTCTCCATCTTTGACTGCAAATTATATAGTCAATCTGATTTCGGTGTTGCCCATCTGGTGATGTCCATGTGTAGAGTCGCCTCTTAGGTTGTTGGAAAAGGGTGTTCGCTATGACCAGTGTGTTCTCTTGACAAAACTCTGTTAACCTTTGCCCTGCTTCATTTTGCTTTCCAAGGCCAAACTTGTCTGTTATTCCAGTTACCTTTTGACTTCCTACTTTAGCATTCCAGTCCCCTATGATGATGAGGACATCATTTTTTGGTGTTAGTTCTATGAGGTGTTGTAGGTCTTCATAGAACCGGTCCACTTCAGCCTCTTCTGCATCAGTGGTTGGGGCATAGACTTGGATTACTGTGATGTTGAATGGTTTGCCTTGGAATCGGACCAGATCGGATACTTTCCTGATCATGCGGTATCACCAAATAACCAAATGCTTAATCAGTCAGAATTCCTAAATCGATAAGGGCAGGCATGATACTAAATAACATCCCCTTGACCTGGGTAGCCCAGGCTAGCCCAGTCTCATTGTATCTTAGAAGCTAAGTAGGGTCAGCCCTGGTTAGTATTTGGATGGGAGACCACCAAGGAAGTCCAGGGTTGTGAGGCAGAAGCGGGCAATAGCAAATCACCTCTGAATGTCTCACACCTTGAAAACCCCAGAGGGTTGCCATAAGTCAGCCGTGACTAGTTTGATCCTGCAGATCAAACGGATGATATTATAAAGGGACAGACAGGAGGGACTGGTTTTAAAGTTGGCCACCCTAGATGCTGGAAATTGTTGGCCATTCTTGACAGAAGTCCAATCCACCTGTAAAAATAGGGGTTTGGTTGTTAATGGAAACACACAACTACATGGAGGCCAAGGTTGCCACCTGACCCTGCGCCCCCACAAGCCAACCTGGTCTGCTCTAGTACCAGGGGTCATTTCCTGCAGGAGCACACAGGAGCGGAGCTCCGGCAGTAAAGAGCCCAGGGGGCGGGCACATGCAACAAGCCCCACCCCCTGCTCCCAACAGCCCTCAGTCAGAGCAAGAAGCAGCCAGGGCAGCTGCAGAGCTCCCCCCGGCCCCCCGGTCCAAAACAGTCCAGTGGCACCTTTAAGACCAAGTTTTATTCAGGTACAAGCTCTCCCTCCTCTGCAAGGACAGATCTGCACGTCCCCCCCCAATAGCTAGCAATCCAAAACAGTCCAGTGGAGCTTGAGTGGTGGGTGTTGCCTTCTGACACCCCCCCGGTGATGTCAGGGGTGTGGCATATGCAAATAAGTTATGCTAATGAGTTATGGTAATGAGCTCCTGCACCTCTTTTTCTACGAAATGACCCCTGTCTAGTACCTTTCATTGTGATTTGATCTGAAGGGAACAGCAGGCAAAGCATAGAGACTGGAGAGGGACAGAATCATTCCTTCCCCTCAAAAGGCCACCAAAGGCACTGCGGCAAGAGCTGGTAAAGCAGCTTTGACCTCAGGGAGGCGGCTCTGAGAGTGGCAGGTTGTTTGAAGTGCCTCCTCACAAGGTCTAGGGATTTCCCCCACAAGAGGCATTACAGTGGGGTGCTACCTGACACATAGCAATTGCAGAGGCCTTAGCTGCAGCTCTTTTTGAAGTGGCAACTGACAGACCGTTTTGTTATTTTACAGACTGCCTTTCTTTTGTTCATTTATAGCCTGCCTTTCTCACTGGGACTCAAGACAGATTACAAAGTGCTAAAAAGCCGTTCAATCGGAAATAGGGCTGCCAGCTCCCAGTTGGGAAACACCTGGAGATTTGGGGGGTAGAGTCTGAGGAGGGCGGGGTTTAGGGAGGGGAGGGACTTCAATGGGATATCATGCCACAGAGTCCACCTTCCAGAGTGGCCCACTTTCTTCAGGTCTCTGTCGCCTGGAGATCACTTGTAATAGCGGGAGATGTCCAGCCACCTCCTGGAGGATGGCAACCTTGACTGGAAAGCAAGGCCCTCCAATAAACAGTGCAGAAGGACAAGGATGACAGAATTAGAATACAGTGCAAATTTAAAAAACTGAAGTTAAGGAGAAGTGAGGACAATTTATACATGGACCCTGAGAAGGGTGACAGGTAGGGCTGCCAGCTCCAGATAGGGAAATATTTGGAGATTTTGGGTGTGTTGCCTTGGGAGGGTGAGGTTTGGGGAGGGAAAACAGCAACCAGGCATGACGCCACAGAATCCACCTTCCAAAGCCGCTATTTTCTCCAGGAGAACGGATCTCTGTCTCCCAGAGAGCAGTTGTAATCCCAAGAGATCTCCAGCCACCACCTGGAGGTTGGCAACCATATAGGAAGAGAGAAAGATGAGAGGGAAAGTGTTATCTTCTCTTAAAATTGCTTGCCTTCCTTGGCTATAGTCCATCAGCAATTAAATTAAAG